CACTTTTTCCTCCAAATCTCGCAGCGTTGAAAGTATGTATTTAAGACTGTGCTCTCATCCAACTTCGCAGCTTTCATGTTGTTGGAGGGATAGCCTTTACTCGAACGTCGTTTGAGAGGTACAGCAGGAGTAGAAGACATAACTCACCAGAAAAATAAAAACTTAGCAGGTATCCAGCTGACAAACTTAAGCGTTTCTTGTTAATGCCCAGGTGATGATGTACATTTTACAACAACACGCTCAGATGCACGAGCCGAAGCAAATTCACATAAGACCAGCTTATGTTTATAAAGCAGAAAAAAAAACACGAAAACAGTATGGAATGTACGGAGCTCAAGAAAGCACGTCTGTTTTACTAGCAAGCACTTTTTGCTTTCGCGGATAAAATATGACGAAATAATTTTTGAAAATTTATTGAATTCGCTCGAAACTTGTTACTCGAGGGTTTTTGGGGACGCTGACCATGTTTTAGTTTTTAAACTGCACTTGCTAAAATCCTTTTTTGGTCGACCAGTACTACTTCATTCAAAACAAGTAAGAAAGTCTAAGTTCGGGCGGAGCCGAACATTAAATACCCGGCGCAAGTATTAAATATATGTTTTTTCACCTTTCCGAAACCTTCCGCTAGATGGTAAGCCGGGGTGTATCAATTTTGAGTAAATTAGCGTCCTTCAATTTCGAAATATTGAAGTTTCAAGCATTTCTGAAATTTACCGTTATATGAGAAGCGGCCGTTATTTTAGTCCGATTTCAATAATTTTCAACGTTTTGCTTATATGTGGCAAGCACAATAACCACACCGAGTTTGGTACAAATTGGTAGAACGCTTACCGATACACTTATATGTGATCATAAGTGGGCGGTGCCACGCCCATTTTCCAAAATTTTACCATAAACGTATTTCTTGGTAAAGAATTGTTGCAAGCATCAATTTTGAATAAATTAGCTTCAATATTTACTGATTTATCGAAGATTTTGTATTTCTCTAAATTACCGTTATATGGGATGTGGGCGTGGTTATTGTCCGATTTTAAAAAGTTTCGGCGATTTTTTATGCTGTACCAATGCCAACAACTGTGCCAAGTTTGGAAGAAATTGGTGCAGCGGTTACCAAGATATACACATGTAACCATAACTGGGCGTGGCTACGCCCATTTTCCAAAAATTTATAATATTCTTCTTTTTCGTATAAAAATTATTGTAAATATCAATTTTGAGTGAATTATCTTCAGTAGTTACTAAAACATCGCAGTTTTCGTATTTCTGGAAATTACCGCTATATGGGAAGTGGGCGTGGTTAAAGTCTGATTTCGCCCATTTTCAATACCAACCTACCTTGGATTAAGGGAAACCTACATACCAAATTTCGTTGAGATATCTCAATTTTTGCTCGAGTTATCGTGTACTCGGACGGACGGACAGACAGATTTCTTTCTGATTTCTTTTTTCATCCTGATCATTTATGTATACATTTGCCTATATCTATCTCGATTCGTTTTGGCTGTTACAAACAACCGTTATGTGAACAAAATTAATATACCCTTGTGCACAAGTGCGCTCGGGTATAAAAATATAATAACAGGATTACAGAAATGGCATAAAAAGCACTTTTAGCATGAAATAGTATTTGAAAAATTCAATTTACTAGAAGCAATAGGTCAGACAAAAATTTGGTCAAGACATTTTTCATGATTGGATAAAAACTTGTAGGTCACTCCTCGTACACCAGCATACTTCCACCCTGTTTGTAAATGGGTGCAGAATGTAAAACTAATTCACTGGTTGCCCATTTTATCCTTTAAAAAGGTAAAAAGTCATGCAAGAAATAGAGGAATTTTCAAGTTTGGTTTTGAGCCAATAAACTCATAATTCCAAAGAAATCACTATCACATTTCTATAGGAGAAAATTAGGTTCCTCTCAAATTAAAATTTTATTAAACAAAGTTGGCTATAATTTTCTGTGCGTGTTTAGTTTATAAGTTAAAAAATGACAATACATCAATAGATTTTTGGTAAAATTTGGCAGACATTTTTACTGCAACTGTGAAATCTTATATATACATACAAAGATAGGTAAAAGTTTCAGCACGTTTGGAAGGCGCCACACCCCCTTTTTAAATTGCCCCAATTTTATCCATGAGCATGGGATTGATTTCATATGTATGTATATCTCCATACCAAGTTCCAGTACTCTACCACTAACACTTCCAGAGATATGCAGTAGAAAAAATTCTTTTTCATTGGGAAGTGCCAGGCCCTGTTTTCTAAAAGCTCCAATTTTTGCTATTGATTTCACATATGTCCGTACCAATTTCTCTAATTTTCTCCATAAGTTTGCGATTGATTTCATATGCCTAAATATTTCTGCACCAAGTTCCAGTACTCTACCATAAAAAAAGTTATAGATGGATCAACCGATAGATAGAGATAGATAAGAAGAACAATTACGACGAGGCCTTTTATACAGTTTACCTTTAATACCTTTAAAAAAATTATAATTAATTTATATTTGAAATATTATTTCATTGGTATAAATATGGTAAAAAATAACTCCGGAAAGGCTGATGATAGTGCTTACAATTTATGAAAGTTCAACATATTTTGTTGAAGCTGCCTTCTGTTTTTTATCAAGATTACACCACTAGTAATGTGAATAAAAAAATTAAACAGATAAATGTCAAATAAAAATACGAATTTCTTAAACACCACAGTGAGAATTTTTGATAGTTATGCATAGATACAAAACTTTAAACCCGAGGCGCAATGAAATGCAATGGTATATCATTCGTTGTGGCAAATACTTATATAAGTATGTGCATATGTATGTCTACAAAATTAATGATACATCATTCACTGGGGCGTATACGTAATGTAAACGAATGCTTTTTATATTGCATCAACCACCAGATGAGTTACATAAATGAGTAGCAAATCGTATTGAAAACCCCCATACGTAAAGAAAAAGAATATTAATTAACTTCAGTCGAAAAAGAACCAACAAAAGCTCAGGGATATTTAATTAAACTCAACGTATTTTTGCAAAAAACAAAAATATCACCAGTTTATCTCTCTTTTAAGGTTTCAAAATGAATTGGTTGCAGGTGTTATACTAAATAAAGCTTCAACGTATGTAACAAAGGGGTGCAGAGTTATGCGAATTTATAAATGGATTTCTGCTCTGCATGTAGCGAAATTGCAACTGTTGCGGCTGCTTCTATTCTAAAATTCGCTGGCGTGATTTTGCAACATTGTTAATTTAATGCACTGCATATTGCATTTGCAGTGTACGTAACTTAGAGCACTACATACATAAACAACAGCAGCAAACGGATTGTGTTGGTTTAGCTGTGTATAAAATTTTCAAATATGTATTTTCTTGTTGCAAGTAATTAATGCCCCGCGTGTGGCAGGCAACGTGTTGCCGCATCCACCATCGCTACCACAAACTGATGCATTTCATTCGTGCGTAACCGAAAGGGTGAACAAATTTGTAATTTACTTACCCACATACAGACGCAGCACACATAAACTCGCATACAAATACGATTGTTGGTTATCAGGTATTTGTTTGTGGGTATTTGGTTTAGTTATGGAAGCTGCATTTAGTCTATTTACAAATACGCCCAGCAAGTTGTATAATGGTTGTGCCCATCGGCGTAGCCAGAATGAAATTTAGGGGGGGGGGAGGAGGGCTCGACGCTATTAAGCTGGCATTTCAGGGTACTATTTTATATATATATAAGGAAAATTTGAATGTTAGGGGGGGCTCGAGCACCCCCCGCCCCTACCTGGCTACGCCCATGGTTGTGCCCACTAGCCACATTCTCCAATCTCAAACGTTAGAGGACGGCTCGAAAAACTATTGAGAATCATAGCGATCTCAACAAAAATGGGACATAGTTCTCCACTCGAGAAAATATTAATTCTCTAATCGAATTCTAATATTGGTCTCTAAGGGATTCGAATGTGAATTTCAAACTGCTGTTTTGCCTTAATAAGTAAAACGCTTTGTTTGTAAAATTTGTATAAATGTATTTGCAATAAAATAATAATGAATTATTTGAACTTAAACATTATTTATGATTCATTCATTTGGAATATTGCTTATTTACATTTATTTGAATTTGCGTTATTTCTCGAATCGAATGAAGTTCTCGAACTTCGTCATCGACTCGAGAACGATTAGAAAATTACCCCAGTTATCTAATGTAGAAATCCAAATTTGTCTGACGTTAGAGACTGTGTTTGCTGGGTGTACACATATTTATATAAAATATTTAAAGACATATACATTTCCACACAAATATGCATATGTATGCATGTATACATATTTAAGTATATGGGGGTGCACGCCATTAAAGCGATAAAAAGCGCATTCAACTTATTTATGCTTACGTACTTGTGTATATAATATTTGTACAAGTAGGAAAAGTAACTTATTTGATTACTTTAACATTTTTGCTTTAGTAAAATATTTGCTTGCACTCAGAGCTACTGCGCACGCTTGTCAGCTCGTTACTACTACTACTTTATCTACATAATTTACTATAGCACGCATGCACTCATAAAGCATTAAGGTACTTATATGAATATGAAATGCGCACAGATGTAAAATGAAAAAAATCGTTAGTTAGTTAAAAAGTTGTATTTTGTATATAAAACTATGCATTTTGAGTTTTTAAGTATAAAACTTAGCGGTAGCGTTGTTGCGAAAATAGATTATGTACGATATACATACATACATAAATTAACAAGAACGAACGTTGAATGGAATAGCTTTGTGGCGAGATAAGTGCCGCCGACGTCGCTCTGTACAGGAATATGCTGAATACTGCATTTGAAATTTATTAATTCCTCAAATATGTACCATTGCATATGCATACGGATGTATGTACTTAAATACATATATGCATATTTTCATATAAATCGTATTTTCAATTCATGTACTAACATCCAATGCAATCTCGGTTGACTCACTCCCTCTACTTTCCCATTTCTAGTTCTAGTGCTCGTATTCGTCGTTTATAATCGCCGACGCGAGGCGCACATTAAATATCCCGGCCCGGATGATGATGTGCGAGAGAATATTATCAATTATGACGATGAGGGTGGCGGCGAGGATGATATGACTGCATTCGATATTACTCCGCTGCAAATACCAATTGGCGGGCCAATGCCACCCGAATTGGCTGCCATAAAAATGCCAATAATGTGTAAGTACAAATAGCGCTAATGCTTTATAAATATTTGTTTAAGCAAATAAGTAGTAACTTTTAATCCGAAAATGGAAAATGAAAACTTCCATTGACGTGAAATGGAGAGGATTTTAAATAGCAGTGTTGAATTTGAATGTTAATTGTTTGCATATTTGGTGAAAATCCAGTTGGTCCGAACTGTTAATGAGCACACAAAAATAGGTATTTGGGAAACTTATGGGGGATACATGCACGCGTATTATTTCAAATGTCATCTAGAGTATGTTTCAAAAATAATTATGCTATTTTGAGAAACGTTTGGTGCAATTAAATAAGGATCGATAGGACTGGAAATCTGACGATTTTTTGCATAGTAGTAAATCTTTTTTCAATGTTATAAGGCCAGTCGTAAAACTTCATTTGCGGGGCTCAGGGGTTGTGCCATCTCAACCAAAGTGTGTTCAGGATTTTTGTCGCTCGCGGAAGCACTCATTTAAGGGCCTTGAAACTATGCCCAGACGTTCTACACTTGGTAGTCAAAACCCAGGAAGGTGTTGCTTCATCTCATCAACATTTGTTATACCCAAGGTTAAAGTTTCTCCTTTTTGGTGAAAACATTTAATTACTTTTCATAATAGTTTATATATTTACTCTTTCACTTTCATCCGCGGACCTTTGTATTTTTCGTGAGTCCACAGTAAAATTTGCTGCTTAATATTTTAGATGTAATTTTATTCACCTATTGGCCATTTTTTCAACAATAGGTCATAAGACCTGTTGCGAAAAAGGTGATCACAATTGTTTTCAAGATAACCCTCAAATAAAGTTTACGGTATTAAAAACAATAAACCACCATGCAAAAAATCGTCAAAATTTCGTTATTTAACGGAGAGTTTTTTTTTACAAAAAGTTAGTGAGTATTATATTCATGTTCAGCAATCTAATACGGGTGACAAACGGGTTCACTTATTTGCATAAACAGCATTTAGTTGCATTTACCCGGCGGGACTGTGGTAACAAAATGTTACTAAGGGTATGTGGCAGGGTATGATATACCCGCATAGAAAATATACTCCAAAATGTATTTGACATAGAATTTGCAGTGAATTAAAGATGCTTTACTGTAACAGGCAATGTTGTAGTTCAATTTAATTTAAATATATGCAGTTTAACACTTTTATTATTACAAATAATTGAAGAAACATGAAATTATAAACTTTTCAAACAAAAATTTTGGTACTTTAAAAAAATCCACAAAAGATTAAAAGGAAAGTGTATTTACAAAAAAATACCGTATACTCCATACATATGGCTTTCCACATATTGGGATGATGAATGTGGAGGTTCATTTACTTGGAATGAGATTCTCTGAAGAATAAATGTTGTAATATTACATACCAAGCGATGTTAGCAAGCTTGTAACTCGAGCAAAAGCCACCGCCCCACTGCGATCACGCCACAATTCTCTAACTCAGTGCTTTGATTATAGCTACACAAAACAACGAAACGTTTGAATAACTAGAGAAAAAAATACACTCATATAAGTAACAGGATGGGTATGTCACACCCAGCTACATTCTCGCCGGGTTAACTCATGCATTTTACTCTTTCAAATGCGCATAAACAGCCGAGCAAATGCACGAAATTTTTGGGAATTAACTCGGATCAGAGGAATTTTCGATGACAACACTGGTAAAAACGACACTGGTACAAGTCCGCGATAGCCGAGTGGTGAGAGTTGCGTGCTACAAGCCTGTAGCTGCTCGATCCTCGGTTGGAGCGATTGCCAACAAATTTTTTGTTTTTATTATTTATTTTATTTTATTTTTATTTATGTATTTAATTTTACTTTACTTTGTTTTCATTTGCTTTATTTTATATAACATTTTTTGTTTTACTATTAGTTAATTTAAATTTTTAGATTTGAATTTTATTAAAAAGTCAGCAACATTTAACTGAAAGCAACGTTAAAAAAATATAGAGCCTATAAAAAATTAATAAAAACGAAATAAATGAAAATTCTACTGGTCGTGGGACTCGAACCCACGACCTTGCCTGTAAGGGCAAAATTATTATGCACATTTATGTGCTAGTTTATCTGTATAAGAATGCTCGTCTGTCTCGCGCTTAAAACTTGGTTAAACAAAAAATATTTTTTAAGGAGGTAGAGTTCTTTAATCTAACTAATACTCAGTTGCAATGGATCAGTAATACTATCTAAATATGATCAGGATTAGAGTGGCTTCATGGTTTCATATGCTCTTTGGAATCTCTTCTATGCTATCTCACGTTTTGAAAATAAGCACCTGCAAAAATTGCATTTATTCTTATTTTTCAAATTTATTATATCGTCACTAGACACGAATATAGGCGCGCCATTATTTTGAAGGCGAAAAAGGACGCATTGACGAAAAAGGACTAGGTTTACGCGTTGACGGCGAAGAAAGACGCGTAATCATAGATGTCTACCAAGCCAAGGACTGTCACTTCAGCATTATTCCCCAAAAATTTTTTCTTCGTTGAAGTTCTTTTATGCGTTTTTTTCGCGGTCAACTTTTAAGCTCGCGCCTTTATTCGTGTCCAGTGTTGCCATTTCAGCCCTTTGGTGGCTAGATTTAGCTACCACATACTTTTTTTGGCCACATAAATTTAGAACAGCCACTAGCCCTTTTTTTTAGTCCTTTGGAAAATTTATTCATCCTTGACATGAAAAAGTGGTATATGCTTAACTTGATCTATTTTTTTCATTTATGAAGGGATGCATTTTTAAACTAAGAAAGACTATGTATGTGTATATGTATTGTACGTTCCTTACGTTTTTATATAAACTTCAAAAGTGTTAGGGCAGTTAACTTATCTAGATAGATAGGTTTACAGCCCTAAATATGCTTAATTTGTTAAAGGGCTCATAGACAGTGTGCAAACCCCTTTTTATTTTAGTGTTTAAAATCGGCAAAAAGATGTGGTAGATTTGAATAAGATGTGGTAGATTTTCCAATTCATATTTTTATTGAGTATACATATCGCACACCGTTGTCAAAAGAGGCACAACTCAAAACTTAGATCGGGAAATATCGTACAGATTCAACGTAATCGGTGCAAAAACAAGTATACCATTAGTTTTCTAGTTAGAGAATATAATCATGAAGAAAAAAATATTTTCATTAATTTGAGAAATATCCTACAGATTGATTTATGCAAAAAAATCGACCAAATTATTTTTCCATTGCATAATACTTTAGCAAATACAAATATGCGGATTTTTGAAATATTAAAAAGTTAAGGCACAGATATATTTAAAGCAAAATTTATGATATACCTTTTTACAAATTTACTGATTAATTTTTAAATTTCGTATAAGAATTGAGTTGAAATTTTAGACTTTTGTGAAAATTTTAAACAAATGTTCTGCCTAAAAATGTGGTAGATTTTAAGCCTTGTGTGGTAGATGCGGTAGACACCCAAATTTTAAAAAATATGTGGTAGAGGTTTGCACACTGCCCATAGATGATGCCAGCATGCCGGCGCCAGTAAATTATTTTTAGCTCTTTCTAGCCCTTTTTTAAAAGGAATTTGGCTACCACTAAAAATGATTCGCGGCAACACTGTTCTTGTCTAGTGACGATATGTACATAATATGTAGGCATACCTGTGATTTTTTTTTTGAGTTTATTATCCTTCAGCGTATTTGATTTTGATAAAAAATATAACCACCAAACCATATAACGGGGTAACGAGACAGGTCAACCTAGATGTTTAAAAACCGAAGTCCAATTACGAAATGTTCTATGTGGAGTTTACCTAATCAGAAGTTTTCTTAAAAATATTCAATAGAATAGAAATGAATAATTAGTTATTTGCCATTCAACTCTGGAAGCTTGTAATGTTTATGGGCAGCTGGATTATACTGGCTTCGTCCAATTCCTCCATGCACTTTTTCCGACCTTTTTGATAACAGCCTGTTTTCGTACTTCCGTCAATCATATTAGGATGCCATTTTTTAAGGCTCTTATATTATCTGAAAAGACCGCTATAGTAGCCTCCATAATAAGTAGAATACCTTTTCAGTCTGAAGCACAACACAATGAAGAACAACCTCAATATATTTCTCTTACTTCCATGCGTGCAAACTGTTGGGCTGACCTAAAATCTCTGTGCTCACAATTTACCTAACCGGTCCGAAATGGCTGCGTTCTTACATGCGCAGTAATAGTCTGTCCTCTAAGATAAACTTGTCGGAACTTATTAGTTTTAGTCAGACAAATAATAATAACACGGCGCTACAAAAAAAGTTTTGAAATACACCCGAAACAAAACCTAGTGTAGGTTGTAGCTATGGTTGAGTACAACATAAAATAGTTCCTGAACCCTCCATTTTTATTTAATTTAAAAACAACCGTTATGTTCGTTCTTGATGCACTTATCTATTAACAGCTTGACTATTTTTCATCCGATTTTGAAAACAAAACATGTTTTAAAGAGAGAATGTATAGACCCTTAGTCTGACCTGTCTCGTTACCCCGTTATATGGTTTGGTGGTTATATTTTTTATCAAAATAAAATACTCTGAAGAATATTCAACTCACAAGTAAAGAAGTCTAAGTTCGGGCGAAACCGAACTTCCGTCGCTTCAACTTTCTCTGAACTACCTTTGCATGATAAACAGGGGTGTTTTTCCCGATTTCAACGTTTTTGATAATATACAGAGTAAGACTTAATGATATAATTGAACTAAGTTAGGTACAAATGGATAAGGTGGTTACCGAGATACAACTTTGTAGTCATAAAGTAGGCGGTGACACGCCCAATTCCTTAAAGTCTATAGCAGTGTTATTTATTGTAGGAGATTGTTGTAACTATTAACTTGGAGCAAATTAGCATCCTCAGTTATTAAAATATCGCAGTTTTCGTATATCCGAAATTAACCGTTATATGGGAACCGGGTTCAATTTTAGTCTGATTTGAATAATTTTCAACCCAATTTTTTTCCGTACCACGGTTATTAAGCGCACAGAGTT